GCTTTCCCTCCCTCGTTCCTTCCAGACTATTTTGTTTGTTTCTCTGCACATGTGAATAATCCTCAGTTTGTATGCAACACCATCATGAATGCAGAACGGGACATGGCTACTTCAGTTATTTTCATTATGCGTTCAATACCAGGAGACCACAACTTTTTTTTTTTTTTCTTTTCTTTTTTTTTTTCATTCTTGACACATCAGGAACGAGACTGGAGAGCGTGAGAGAGTGAAAACTAACGTGAACCCTCCAAATTTCTGCTGAATGGATGGTTTCCTGGCTGCTCTGCTTTCTTTTGGTGGAATGCCGTTGAACGTTATTGATAAAGGTTGTATTTAGGCCACTTATCCTTACCTGACTCAACTGTTTTGCTGAAAATAATTTGGCCAAGTTGCTGCTTTTTCATGTCAAGTGAAGCATCATACATGTTTCTGGAATTTTTGTTAATGCTATCAGGATTTGAAATGGTCAAAGCAAGATTTTTGTTTGAACAGTTTAAATTCTGGACTATTGCAAAATCGACCCGCTTTCCAATCAGCAGAGCCCTGTAAAATATATAAGAGGGCTTATTATGTTACCAAGGAATGCTAACAACATAGTTACTTAGAATTCTTCAAATGGAACCTTGAGTCTATAACTTGTAGTACGTCTGTAAGTCTCTAGAGGGCAGGCATTTATGTTATCTTCTTTCTAATTTTATATGCTGCTTTTGTGATTTTTCAGCTCTTCCGCAGAATTAGACTACAGTGAATGCAACAAGGCTCTTCTTTAAAAAAAAAAATACAGGGTTTCCTTTCTGTATCGCAGCACCCAAATATTTGAAAGTGTTGGAGAAAGTGGCTGAGAAATGCTATTTTCTGTTTCTGTTCCTATTTTCTGCTCCATTCTAGTCAGTTGTATTTGATTTAGACTGAGATTGCCAACACTTTTTATTGATTAGGAGGGATTATCTGGTCATGCCCTCTGATAAAGGGAGAACAAAAAGAAAGTGCCTTATCAGACTATTGTGTATCATATATTGGTAATCGGGTCCTCTGACCCTACACTGAGCGCCGCGTTGGTGTGTGTGTGTGTGTGGGCCTATCTCCAAGCAAATTTTCTTTTTCACTAAAACACGGAATTGAAGTTAGGAATGGACAGGTTTGTTACTGAAACATTTTCTTGCAAGTGCTGTAAACTGTGACCCGAGTTTATTTTTTCAGTCATTTATTCCTCACAAGGTTCATGCTAATGCGAGGAGGAAGTGCCGGCCCCGTTGATTGTGTTCGTGTTAACACATTATTTGTTCCCCTATTGTCTTTATTTTTAGAGCTGTGCATATTATATCCATAGCCATTTGCAGCAGTCAGTGTGGCTCATTGGGACATTTTTACAGGGTGTAGGCAATGTGTCCTCTTTTGCTTTTTTCTCATATGTATAAAAAAAAAGCTCTTTAACAGACATGAGCCTGCTGCGCAATTGAGGGTAAATCTGAGGCGCTAATAAATATGTATTAAATTCAGCATGCTTGCATGCTAATGGTGAGAGCCATGTACTCAAACATAGTTAACCTGTTTTTACAAATTCAACACCCCACTTTTGTTTAAGCTTTGTAAACCTGGATTAATCCTGTTTCATCTTCATTTCTCTTTCTTGCGTAGTATAGAGTCCAGCAAAGACGACCCGTGATCGGATAGATTGTCTGATTCAATTTTATGTTTTGCCAGGTTGAAAATGTCCTCTTGTCAGTTTTAAGATTCGTTGCAGTGCAAGGTTAATTGGTTTCCGATGCTGTTTTAGACGCGTCATGTGATAATGTCTGGGTTACTGTACTAATACACATTGCCTTCAGTTTTTGAGGCTTACAAACTTTTTTCCCCTGTCAAGAGGTTCGCATTGCAGGTTGTGTATGACAATTTAATTGTTTGCCATTTTTTTCCATTGTGTTTTGATTTTTGTTCCTTGTGTTTGCAATTCTGTTGTATATTTTACACTCATTTCTTTCATCCTAGACGTTTTGGAATAAAAAAAGGAAAATATTGTTCAATGTTCAGTAAGACTGTGCACCTTTTCTTTTACATATGCCTGTTTTAATTCTTGCAATAAGCTGTGGCACCTCCTTACACCTTTTAATATGGATCAAATTTATGAAAAGACAAACATGAATAAAATCAATTGAAATTAACATACAGAGATGAAAATATAAACGCTTGAGGATAAAACGTCAATGTACTAAATATTTTAGATGCATAAAACTTTAAAAAGTTTGAGAGCTTTAAAACTGCAGTGAAACCTTTTATTTGTGAATAAGTTACTCTTAATAGTAATTTGCCTTTGAGAGTTGTTTTTAAAAATCTTGAAGATGGGATATCATCATTTCTTCATGCATTACACGCAGTATATAATATATATAACACCAGGGGCGGATTTAGTGAATTGGGGGCCCCAGGCAAAATATAGGAATGGGGCCCTATACATTTGCACACATTTTCCTAGATCAACCTTGAGGTTCCATTTTTTGTTATGATGCTTGCTGCTGCACAAAGGTGCCCCATAATTGTGTCCAATGTTTCTACATTTTTCATGTACATGTTATAATGGCTTTCTTTCATGTTGCAGACCACGAAATAGCAACTGATTTACAGTTGAGATACAGGTTTTCACAAAAAAATAAAAATAATTATAAAATGATAAACCTCACAATTGAGCGTTTAAGCCAGGGGTGAGACAAGTATAAATTATTATATTAATTTAAAACGGGGTTATGTGGGTGGATTTTCGCACAAAACTGAAAAAAATATACATTTACACACCTAAGGATTATATCAACCAAAAAAGTAACTGCGTATGTGTCCTCTACTTGGTTCCTTCTCATAAATAAGCGGCATTTAAAACAATTATAAACATATAATACACACTGTTTCTCAATATTTAATTACAGCTTCAGAGGCATGATATTTTCATCTCCTTCAAGCAGGATACACAAAAAGCACGTACAACTCGGGACTGTTGTCGTGGTAATTAACACCATAAACAGCAACCTTCGAGTGTCTGCGCTTAATGCGCATCTCCTATATGAAAAGCATTTTAGGGGGCCCTTGGCTTTTGGGGGCCCAAGTCGGTCGCTTACCTTTGCCTAATGAGTAAGTCTGCCCCTGTATAACACACAAAACCTGTATTATAAAATCTGTATAATGTACAATACGGCACACATCTGAGTATGTAATTATAATTGATACAAACTATGGTCACTTTATTTTACAGTGTCCATGTTACACACTACATGCATTTACTATGGTATATTTTCAAATATGTTCGTGAGCTACTGACGTTATCATTATGTAATGTTTTCTGATGACTTATAATGAAAGTGTATGTAGACCAGCGTGTAGTAATACTAATGCGTGAGTGAAATGAAAAGTTGTGCTTGAAACAAACCTCCGTTGAGCAGTCAGTCGTGTTTTCCCGCAGCCTCCTCCCCTTTACTACAAGATACGCGCGCTAGTGAATCATTCATCACTCCAGCGCAATGCGAGCTGAAGCTCTGAGTTTCTATTAAATTAAACACACATCTGACTGAACTCCCTTCAGTTTCTGTGCACTGGGATCTGTTCAGGATGACACCTCTCCTCTGCAACGCCTGCCTCATCTTGCCTGTTGCTTTACATCTGCGTAAGTTGATGCTGATATAGGCTACATTTACTAAATTGCTTCGACCGGTTTTCTTTTAAATGCATTTATATGGACTTCTGATCAAATGGGTTAGAGGTTGCTCGCTCTTTCTATTCACCATACACCTGAGTCAAACCGCATTTTTGGTTTATTTAGGCTGCGATTAATCAGATTCAGATATATTATGACAAATATAGATCAAGAGGGGTTGCCTTATCGGATTATGTTTGTGTTCATGGGCTGTTTTCCCATTTTAAATTAGATAAATGTGTAAAACAGCAGATAGAAAAAAAAACATACTGGCGTAGCCTTTATACAGTAAGTGTGTATCTGTCCAAAAGTGCTGCAGAGTTGAGGCTCCATCGCTCGAGGAGTTGAGCTCTGGATGTTGCCGGGGCACCGCTGACGTTTCGCTGTTTCTTTGGAGTCGATGCAAATGTTGATGTGATTTATTTCCCCCGAGGATTTAATCTGTGTGTGGGAGAGAGAAAAAACAACGATAGTTACAAATCATGAATAAAAGCAGCTGTTCTGCAACTGACAGCTCTTCTCTCCGGAGAGTAAACCCCTTTTGCCCGTTTACGGAACAAGATGTAATCAGTCATAACGTGTGTGAGGGAGGAAAATGTGTTTAAGCCGTGTGTAGGATTTAAAATAAACAAGCAAGTGAATTGTATGGAATTGTGGTTATGATTCTTTTTAATGATTCCGGTTCTTTAATGGTTCCATTGTCAATTCTTTTTGTAGCATACTTTATAGGAAGAAATGTTAATTAAAAAAAATATGAACGAAAAGAAAAAAAGATCAAACGATGACATTAAGATTTCAAAAGAGCAGATTTAGCAAATTAGAAATAAATGTAATTCTTGGCAAGACTTCTTAATGACTTTACAGAGACTTTTATAGGCTGTATAAATGCAATCCATTAATTTGTTAAAAATTTGTAACAATCTTTAATCTAACAATGTGTACCTACAACGTTGTCATATGAACAACTACAGTTCTGGTCCTTGATTCTGATTGGTTGAGCCGCGTTCGAAGTTGTTGTAAATTACTCTACAAACATAAGGTGCACTTATGCACTATTCTATGATGTTTTGTAGTATAAATAGTGTGAG